AGGGCAAGAGTGAGGGCAAGAGTGAGGACAAGAGTGAGGACAAGAGTGAGGGCAAGAGTGAGGGCAAGAGTGAGGGCAAGAGTAAGGGCAAGAGTAAGGGCAAGAGTAAGGGCAAGAGTAAGGGCAAGAGTAAGGGCAAGCAGGCAAAAAGCAAAAGCTCTCTTGTATTTCCTTTTATGTGGACTTCCACCAGAAGATGTGGCCCAGATTGAGGATGGATCTTCGTACCTCAAATGATCCAGTCAGGAAAAATCCCTCACAGGCAAGTCTCGATGCTTGGGTTTGAGTTGATTCCAGGTGTAGTTGACAGCCAAGATTAGCCATCTCCTCCTTGTTTGTTCCATAGACTAGTTTGAGGAGCATTGATGTTATTTTATCCTTAATTACTGCTTCAATATTACTACTCATTATACATCTTTAAGTTTTTTATATTCTCCTGGTTTAGTTTTGTTAGGTCATGCATGTCTAAAAAATTAGTCTTTCTTATTTTCTAATTTATTGCAATTCCCTTTTCAAAATATTCCCTGTTGGTCTTCTGGATTTCAATGGTATCCATTGTCATGTCTGCCTTTTCACCTTATACTTTATTGAGTCTGCTCTTTCCTTTGCCTAAGGGTTTATCTACCTCATTTTTTTCAAAGAACCAACACCTTGTTTTACTGATGTTTGGGAGGGGTATCATCCTTTTTTGTCTCCATTTCTGAAATTTATTATTTCTGTCTATTTTGGGGCCTGATTTATTCTTGTTTAAGATTTTGAGGTACAGCCGGGCGGTGGTTGGCGCACACCTTTAATCCCAGCACTCAGGAGGCAGAGGCAGGCAGATCTCTGTGAGTTCGAAGCCAGCCTGGGCTACAGAGTGAGTTCTAGGAAAGGCACAAAGCTACACAGAGAAACCCTGTCTTAAAAAACAAAAAAGATTTTGAGGTACATTATTAGATTAATTGAAAGAACTAATTTTTAAATGATGTATCACAGTGGATATAGCACATGCATGCACTTTGCACTCCTGAAGAGGAACATAGATCCACTTGTTGATATGTAGATTGTCATATTTTCAGTGTTATGGAAAAAACAAACAAAAGAGATCATCTGGCCTGTAGCTCAGCGGATGAAAGTGCTAGCTTAGCATACTGAGGGGTTAACTCTAGCATTGTCTAAACCAGACATGGTGGTGAGTGCCTGTAATTCCAGCACTTGGAAGATGGAGGCAGGGGGATGAAAAATTCAGTCATTCTCTGCTACCTAGAGAGTTTGAAACCAGTCTGAGATAGGCGAAACCCTGTCTTGAAAACAGAACAAAACAGAAACCCTACCATATTATTAGAGTTTGGTTTCTTTTTCTTTAGACAAAACTGTGTTCTAAGTGTTAATATCTGTAAAGTCACAATTTCAAGTTTTATGTATTAACTCTTTCCCCCATTCCACTTTAATAATTGTGTGTAAATACTTCAAAGGAAGAGTTTTCAGTAGTATCTGGGTTTTCTTTTATATCACCGTGGTTTGAGGGTAGCACTTAGAGGAATGTTCCATCAACAAAGTCCCTGCTTGCCTTGTAAGGCCAGGGCTTCCTTTCTGGACCCTTTGAGGCTGTATTAATCACTTTTTCCCCTGGGCTCATACAACATTCTGTATATTCTATTTTTGTTTGATTGTTTTGGTTTTGTCTTTCTTTAGAGACAAGGTTTCTCTGTGTAGTACTGGAACTCACTTTGTAGACCAGGCTGACGTTGAACTCAGATCCTCCTGCCTCTGCCTCCTGAGGGCTGGGATTAAAGGTGTGTGCCACCACCATCAGGCCATAGTCTATTTTTTTTTTTTTTTAAATTGGGGAGAGCGTGACCACAGGACTCATCCTTGACCATCTTTACCTTCATTCTAGGTGCTCCATTCTTGCCACTGTTTTTCTTTGTGATGCTTATTATTATATGAAATGTTTTTGTTTTTAGCTAATTTTAATTCATTTTAAGAATTTAAACCCTACTTAATAAATATTAAAACTCATATACCTACTTAAGAATATTTGCTATATTGTTCCTTGTTGGAGAAATAGTATTTTCTCTAATACATTGCTGCTTTTATTTACTATTGGGAACTCCATTTAGGCAAGAACTGTGTTTTTCTTTGTTGCATTAGCTTTTCCTGGAGTGATTAAAAACAAACCTCTCCTTCCCCTAGATAAGGCACCAAGGACAAACCGCAGTAACAATTCCACCAAAGTCCAGCTTGGTGAACTCTTCATTGTTTTTTTTTTTATAGAGTATGGATGAGGGGTTACTATAGGTCTGTAGGTAACTCCATACAGCAGTGTCACTAGGTCTTATCCCAGTATGATAACTTCTTTATAGCTGCATGTTCTAAGCTCCGTATACTCTATGACTTGCCAAGACTATGTGCAATTTATGCAGAATTACATACAGCTGGGCGCTAGGTGTAGGTAGAAGTGGCTGGAATCTTAGGTGAGGGTCTATGAACCTCCCCACCCCTTTCTCTGTGGAGGGAACAACTTAATCTTAAGGGTCTTTGGCAGTTAGTCACAGCTGCTGTGGTGAAGATGGTAAAGGCTGTTAGTTTGGAGGGCAGAATTCTACAACACTGAATCATCATGGCCTCTCTGGTACTGAGAACAGTCTGGAACATATGTTAAGTATGTTAAGTGGAGGTATGTGTACAACAAGTAATTTGGACACTTGTCTCAGTTTTAGAAGTGAAAAGCCAATACTTTGTCATGTTTTGCTGCTTGCAGTTTTCCTTCCTTCTTCTTCCCTCTCTCCATTCCTCCCTCCCTCCCTCCCTCCTTCACTCTCTCCTCCTCCCCTCTTTCTTTCAAATAGTCTCACTCTGGCAGTGAATTTATGATTCTCCTTTAATCCTTCCAAGTTCTGGGATTACAGCATGTTCTACTGCACTTGATGATCAGTGCTTATTTTGATTAATGTTTTAGGTTAGCAAGGTTTCTTTCCTCAACTTCACTTTAAAAAATTATAGTAGTTTGGGCTGGGGAGATGGCTGATTAAGAGCACTGACTGCTCTTCCCAGAGTACCCAGGTTCAATTCCCAGAACCCACATGGTGGCTCACAACTGACGGTAACTCTAGTTTTTGGGGGATCTGATACCCTAATCTGGCCTCTGTAGACACCAGACATGCATGCACATGGTGCACAGACATACATGCAGGCAAAATACACATATGTTAAATATAATAAAAACTAAGAATACTGAAAATTCATACTAATTTATATTATCATCCCTTCTCCCAAGAAAACTGAGCATCTTTAGATGTTTGGCAGTGTACTTTGCTTTTGAGAAAATTTTCAGGACTTTAGCACCAGCCATTTACTTTAGTTTTTGTGGTTGTAGTTAAAAAAAAAAGCAACCAGTTCTCAGGTTTTATGTAGGAGTAGGGTGGAATAACTAGACTTTCCATTTCCCTGGGGTGCCTGATGAGAGCCTGTCCCTTGCAGGAGCAGGATTGCAACTTCAGAAACAAGTCTATTGATCTACTTGCCTCCTGCCATTGTTAATAAGTGTGTGCCCTTCCTGGAGAGCACTGATGCGGCCTGCATCTGGGGAGAACCTGTTGATCCCTTAGACAGGGAGACAGCCACAGGGGTGGAAGAGGACTTCACAGGCATAGGCTTTGTTTTTGTTTTTCCCTTTTCTATCTTCCTTGAATATGAGAAAGTTTAGGTGAATTCTGAAGTGCATGTGTATGTGCAGGACCTTTAGTGTTTTACTGAATGGGATTGATTAGGAGCAAATTTAGGAAATTTGGACTTGAGTAATCTTATAATTCTTATCTTACAAAGAAAAAAAACATTTGCTCATAAAGATAAGTATTTCATATTAACATGAAATGTAACTGGATTTTAGTTTTAGATTTACTAGATAATTTGAGTCTTTTAGACTAGTTACCATGGAACTAAACACATACAAACTGGAATATGTTTTAAAAATGAGTGGAATATTTTTAGCACTATGGCACAAAATTGAAAGTTACTGTAGTTATAAGCAAGGAGGTAGAAGGGACTTCTTCATACTCCTAAACCTTTACCTGTCTGTATTACTGAATTCAGGTTGTGCCACAAAGGTTGTCATGCAGGGACGTGTTCTGAGAAATGTGTTATTAGGAGGTTTAATCATAGAACATAGTGTGTACTTACACAAACTAAGACATCTGTGATAACTATAGCTTCTGTAGAAGATTGAATCTAATGGGATCAGTGTGTGTACACAATCCATTAATGACAGAATGTTGTTGCATGGTTCATGGCTGTAATACAGAAAGAGTACTCTGACCAGGCATTCCTTTTTCTTTTGAGTCTTAGGAGAAAGAAGCCCCTGAAGATGCCAGTAGACTACCAAGTTGCTAAACCATGCTGTTAAAGTCCAAGGCCTGTGTATGTGTTGCTTGTTAAAAAAATTAGTTAATTTGTATGTATTAATTGACTGTTTGGTGAGCAAACATCTACTCACCCCAGATAGGCTCCCACCAGCAGACTAAAGGAAGGATTCTACTAAGCTTTGTTTGGTGAGTTAGTGAGTTTATCAGGCTTATAGGTGTGATCCCCAGAGAGACCCATCACTGAAATGTCTCACCCTAGCTTGGATGGAATACTCCATCCCCCCTTTTTTAAACTTCAGATCTCTGTATACTGTAGCACCTCCTAGAACTGGGGCAGAATTACATGTGGCTAGGGGTCAGGTGGAGTACAAAGAGTGAATACCTGGAATCTCAGGTGAGAATGTTATTCTTCTTATTCTTTCTTTCTCAGGAACTTCAAAAGACCCAAATTTGAAAGTGTCGTGTAGTGACAGCTGCCCTGATTAAAATGGGAATAGCTGTTATGCTTGGAGGACAGCATTATACAGCATTGGTTAACAAATTGACTTCTAAATTTTTAAAAATTCTTTTGTTTATTGACAGAAATATAGCCACATTCTTAAAAGATGGCTTCAAAATTACTATTATTTGTTTGTATGTGTGTTTGTATGGAGTGTGTAAATGTGTTTTGGGCACATACACACATACATATACTGCATGTATATGGCAGTCACAGGACAACATTTAGGAGTTGGTTCTTTCCTACCTTGTCATTGTCATCTTTATTGCTGTTTCTGCCATGCTGTGTACTGAAGGCTAGCTGGCCTATGAGCCTCTATCTCTGTCTCCCGTCTAGCCACAGGAGTGCTGGGATTGCAGGTGTAAGACACTGCATTCTTTCCAGGGTGAAGAGTTGGGTGGTCAGGCTTGTATAGCAAGGGTCAGTTTTTTTTTTTTTTAACCTTCTGAGACATCTTGTTGGCCCCAAAAGTTGGTTTATATCTGGGGTCCTTAGTAAGGAATATCAAACATGGTACTCCAGTTCTATTATAGACTTTTTAAAGAATTTTTATTTGTAATCTTAAGATATTCTGTGGTTAAACTTTACAGCATTGTGACCTTGAAGCACTGCCCCTAGTGAGGTAGCAGGTAATTGTTACACTTGCCTATGACCTGGGGTGTGGCCACTTGGGACCCTTAAGACCTGGGATGCATGCACTCAGCTCTCTCTTCGCCTGCTCGTGGTATTGGATGCTGAAATCTTGGACCAGGCAAATCAGTGTGGGACATAGCTTAGCTTTCCCGGACCCTACAATAAATCTCCCATGGTAGTGAGTTAACCCCCAAATAAATTCCTTTGCTCATTAGATAGTCTCTGTGGATTAAAAAGCCGGTTATGATGGTACACACTGGTGGGATTTGCTGAAGGAGGTGGAGGCAGGAGGATCACAAGTGGGCAGTTATAAAGTTTCTCCGCACCATTGGGGCATCCAGTTTGGCTAAAGGCCTAGAATATCTGACAGATCATTTTCAGAAGCAGGAATTTTTTTTAAAATAATTTATTTTTATTTTATGTGCATTGGTGTTTTGCCTGCATGTATGTCTGTCTGAGGGTCCTCTGGACCTGGAGTTACAGACAGTTGTGAGCTGCCATGTGGGTGCTGGGAATTGAACCTGGGTCTTCTGGAAGAACAGTCAGTGCTCTTAACCGCTGAGCCATCTCTCCAGCCCCCCAGAAGCAGGAATTTTGAAAGACCATCTTACCCTGTCTTGGCAGAGTTCAGTAGTCGCTTTTCCTTGTGTCCCGCTCGTGCAGAAAAGGACAGCATTTGTACTGTCAGCAGTCAAGGCAAGGGCAGTTCTTTGCTCAGCAGTCCATTATGTACAAACTTCCATATGGAGTGTCTTAGAAGCCTAACATTCTCTTGGGATCAGATTGGTGCTGCCGGGAGCAATCATGTCTCACATCAACAGAATTCTAAGTTAAAATGCCATATCTTCTAGGTCTATGAAGTGTTTGAAGATTACCTGTCCATCTGACCTATGTATCTGTAAATCTGGAGAACCTAACTAACATAACTATAGAAATGACAAGCATGGGTGACTATAAATCTGCAAGTCTTATCTACCTAAATAACCTAAGGACTAAGCTTTCACAAAAACAAGGTAAATAGTCTGTAAACAAATGTACAGTAAAAGGACAATGACCTCATGGGCTGGAGAGATGGCTCAGAGGTTAAGAGCACCGACTGCTCTTCCAGAAGTCCTGAGTTCAATTCCCAGCACCCACATGGTGGCTCACAACCATCTGTAATGAGATCTGGCACCCTCTTCCGTATACATAATAAATAAATAAATAAATAAATAAATCTTTAAAAAGAAAAAAAGGACAATGACCTCAAAGTTATGACAGTACACAAAATGTCTTAGAGGCAGAAATTTATAGTACAATATGCAATATGATAACAATCCTAACAATCCTAAATATGTATCAGTATAAAAAATATCTTAAACAGAGGTAGAACATACATACAGTTTGACAAATATAATTTTACATTTGTATCAATATACAAGATATTTCAAATAGTAGAAATATATGTACAGTACAACAAATATAGTTTGTTTGTATCAATATACAAGAATCCATAACTGCAAATTACCTAAGGCTGATATTTTACTAAATTAGTTTACTAGTATATACAATAATCTACCTTAATATCCTATACCTATCCATTTCCATTTTTCTTAAGGAGAATACTGGGTCTAATTTTTATTGTTACACCCCCAACCCTATAGCCATTATCCATAACCCAGAGAAAATTGAAACCTTTGGAGAGGGGTGTTGTTTTCTTAGAATTGCTTCCTGCTGTTTAGGGAGCAATGGTAAGAAAGCTCTAGGGTCCTGTAAGAAAGCTCAGGGCCGGCCGGTGGTGGCGCACTCCTTTAATCCCAGCACTCGGGAGCAGAGACAGGCTCTGTGAGTTCGAGGCCAGCCTGGTCTACAGAGTGAGATCCAGGACAGGTACCAAAACTACACAGAGAAACCCTGTCTGGAACAACAAAACAAACAAACCAAAAAACCCAAACAAACAAACAAAAATTTTGCTGGGCAGTGGTGGTGCATGCCTTTAATCCCAGCACTGGGGGGGG